CATTGTTATGCAAATGACAGCAGCTGCAGCACTGGTGATGCTCTATACACCGGCCGTGCCAATATTTATCAGGAAAACGTCGCCGAGTATCTGAACAAACTTGTGTCTGAAGTCGAGTCTTTGCTGGACAAAGTCTCAGATTGGAGACGACTAAATCTAGTCCAGTTTAATCCCCAGAAGACACAAGTTTGCGGGTTTACTGCTAAAAAGAACCCCTTTGTCGTATCTCCTCAGTTTCAAGGTACTTCCCTTGTTGCCTCATCCAGTATCGCAATCCTCGGCGTCGACATATCGAATGACGTGCAGTTTCGTGGCCACTTGGAAGAGAAAGCCAAATTGGCCTCTAAAAAGCTTGGCGTGCTCAGCAAAGTGGGACAGTATTTCATGCCGACACAGCGCCTGCAACTTTACAAGGCGCAGGTTCTGCCTCACATGGAATACTGTTCCCATCTCTGGGCAGGGGCTCCCCAGTGCCAGCTCCTACCACTTGACCGCATCCAGCGCAGAGCGGCTCGAATCGTCGACGGCCGAGTCCTTTCCGATCGGCTCGACTCATTGGCGCTGCAAAGAGATATTGCATTTCTTTGCATTTTGTTTTGCATTTACCACGGGGAGTGCTCTAAAGGAATTGTTCGGATTAATTCCAGCCGCCAAATTTCACGAAAGCACATCGCCGCAGAACTTCCGATACCATCCACACTATCATACAGATAGTGTGGATGGTATCGGAAGATGGCGGTCTACCACTGTGCGATTTAGAAGAGTTTTCTTCCCCGCACGACTTCCTTGTGGAATCGATTACCATCAGCAAATTTTCCGGACCAATAAGACTTAGGGACCTTCAAGAAAGGAGCCTACTCCTTTTTAAAAGGCCGGCAACGCATCTGCAATTCCCCTGCTGTTGCGGTTGTTCATGGGCGGTGGTAGTCACTTACCATCAGGTGAGCCGCATGCTCGTTTGCCCCCCCTCCTATAAAAAAAATATTTATATTGACTACTGCTTTCGATTTTGGTTTTCTGCGATTTGTTTTGTGATTTGGTTTAAGTTGATTGGATTTTGTTTGGCTATAGTTTTCGGATTCGTATTGTGTCTTGAATTAGTTTTGTTGTTTTGAATTTAAAAAATATATAAAAGGAATATTTATTCCTTTTAGATATTTTTTATTTGCTTTAAAAAAAAACATTTAAAAGGAAATTTAATTCCTTTTAGGTATTTTAACGTTTTTTTTATAAATAGGTTTTTTGTTACTTCATAATGCCTCGCAAACGTAAGTCCAACCTTTCAAGAGTATCTTCTCAAAGACAAGCGAAAAGATTAGCTCGATCGCTAGAATCTTTAGAAGATGCTGAACTGAGAAGGCAAGAACAAGCAAGAGCGTCAGGCTGCTTTTAGAGCATTTGAGACACCTTCTCAACGTCAGGAAAGTCGTCTTGAACAGACAGAACGTCAGGCTGCTTTAAAAGCTTCCAAAACACCTTCTCAAAGTCAGGAAAGGCGTCTTGAACAGGCAGAGCATCAAGCTACTTTAAGAGCTTCTGAAACACCTTCTCAAAGTCAGCGAAGGCGTCTTGAACAGGCAGAGCGTCAAGCTACTTTAAGAGCTACTGAAAGACCTTGTCAAAGTCAGCAAAGGCGTCTTGAACAGGCAGAGCGTCAATCTACTTTAAGAGCCACTGAAACACCTGCTCAAAGTCAGCAAAGGCTATTCGAACAAGCAGAACGTCAGGCTGCCTTAAGAGCCGCGAAAACACCTGACGAAACTTAACACAGACTCATTGAGCAAACTGAACGTCAATCTACTATAAGGGCATCTGAAATACCAGAACAGACACAGGCGCGAAGAGATGCAAATGCAGCTCCAAGCTGAACGTCGACAAAATTTTCAAAGAAACAATCGGTCGGTTTTTAATGACGCAGCATTCAATTATGATCCCTTGATTGATTATAAAAATCACAGGTTAGTTGTTATCGGACTGATGAACAAAGCGTGTCGATTTTGCAGCGCTTTAAAATGGAAAGATGAGACCGCAGGCATGTGGTGTTCCAATGGCAATGTGTCTCTTCCGTTACTTGGGGAACAAAAAGAACCTTTGAAAACTCTCTTTTTATATGATGCTAATGAGTCACGGCGCTTTATAAACAGGATCCGGAAATATAACTCATGCTTTAAATGACGTCCTTCGGAGTTGACCGGGAAATAATAATGCCGAGATTTTCACCTACATTTACGGTGCAAGGGCAAATTGATCATAGAATAGGTTCACTTTTCCCAGCTGAAAACGAACAGCATAAATTTTTACAAGTATATTTTATGGGTGACGAAGAAATTGAGGTAGACCGTCGCTGCCAATTTATCCAGGGAGTTGAGAGAGACACAGTGTTCAAAATTCAAAGATTCTTGCATGAATGTAACATTTTAGTCAAAACATTTAAAACTGCTTTAGAAAGCCTACCTGATGAGCATTATAAAGTCGTCATTCACGCAGATCGGACCCCTCGAGGAGAGCATGAAAGGCGCTACAATGCACCTTTGATAAACGAAATAGCAGCCGTAAATAGTGGTGATCAATTTTCTTCACGAGACATTGTCTTGCTAGCACGTGATGATACGTTGTAACGGGTAGCCGATACACAAGTTTTATGACGCTCTGCAATACCCATTGATTTATTGCAAAGGACAAGAGGGTTATAATTTTCAAATTCCACTCATTAACCCGGTCACAAAGGAGCCTACTCCGAACAAAAAAGTATCATGTAAGGATTTTTATGCGTATCATATGATGTTGCGAGAAAATGATTTTAACCTCATAGCCCGGTGTAGACAATTATTTTATCAATTTTTGGTAGACATGTTTGTGAAGGTAAAAAGTGAACATCTCCGTTATATATCTTTAAATCAAAAAAAGCTGCCCGTTGAGAATTATATACATTTACAAGATGCAGTTTCTAGCGACGCCAATGTAAACCCCAGTTAACAGTCCCCGCTACCTACATGAGTACACACAAGACGCATTCGCCTATGTACGAACTTACGGAAGACCTGATCTTTTTGTTACTTTTACTTGCAATCCGAGGAACCGAGAAACTAATGCCGGACCAAAAAAGTACTTACAGACACGATTTAGTTGGCTAGAGTATTTAGATTAAAAGTACAAAAATTAATGTATGTAATTAACAAAGGGAAAATTTTCAGAGAGGTGCAGTTCTTCATGTATTCAATTGAATGGCAAAAAAGAGGATTACCGCATGCCCACATTCTAATATGGCTTAAAGAGAAGTTGCGGCCCAGCCAAATAGATGACATAATAAGCGCCGAGATTCCGAATCCTGAGCAAGATAAAGAATTGTATGATACCATCATCCGAAATATGATTCACGGTCCATGTGGAGCACGAAATTCAATATCGCCATGTATGAAAGAAGGAAAATGTACAAAGAAATTCCCTAATCAGCTATTAAAAGAAACAGTGCACAATGACAATGGCTACCCTTTATACAGACGCAGAGCTCCCGAAGATGGTGGCAGGAAAGTTACAATCAAATCTCGCTCTGGAGCGTTCGAAACCTTAGATAACAGCTGGATTGTCCCGTATTCGCTCATTCTATGTAAAATGTTTAATGCCCACAATAATGTAGAAGCATGTAGCTCTGTCCGCGCAATCAAGTATATCTACATAAATAAAGCAAGCGACCAAGCAGTATTTAATCTCAAATCCCGTTAATGAAGTACAGACCTTTCAAGCAGGGCGTTATGTCAGCAGTAACGAGGCAGCGTGGCGTCTCCTTGGCTTCCCTTTACACGAAAGGCACCCAACAGTTACTCACCTTGCTTTACACTTGAGCGTAAAGCAAGGTGAGTAACTGTTGGGTGCGTGCTTAAAACTTGGAGAGCATGTATATTTCACCGAAAGAAATTTCCAAGAAAGAATTGCATCACCGCCAAAAACTACACTAACAGCCTTCTTTCAACTTTGTCAAACCGACCCTTTGCAAAAACGTTGTTATATTCTGAAGTCCCCCGCTATTATACTTGGAACACATCTAGAAAGGAGTGGAAACACCGTATTCAAGTCGCGCCTGTTGCAAATTGGCCCGGTGTAAAGTCATCAGATGCCCTTGGTCGTGTGTATACCGTCCATGTAACTAATTTTGAATGTTTCTCTTTACGATTGCTGCTGCACCATGTTCGGGGTCCTACAGTATAAAAAGACCTTAAAACTGTCAACGGTCAGGAATGCGCAACTTATAGAGAAACATGTTAAGCTCTGCATCTTTTAGAAAACGATAATCACTGGGATGAAACCATGGAGGAAGCTGTGCAGTGCCAGTCGCCAGCCAAAATTAGGGATCTTTATGCAACTCTCATATCATCTTGCGGGCTATCTAATGCACATGAATTGTGGGACAAATATAAAGAGTACATGGTGGAAGATATTTTGCGAAGGTTACAGCAGACACACGCGAACATGACATACAATGAACACATTTATAATGAAGCACTTGGAAAAATTGAAGATAAAGTAATGGCAATGGTAGGCAAAAAATTAAGCGACTTTGGAATAATAAGCCCTCAGCGAACAACCGAAAATGAACTAAGTGATGAAATTATACGTGAAACAAACTACGATATACCAGCTTTGCAGCAGAATTTATACCCCGTTTGCTTCCCGAACAAAAACGAGTTTTTGACAAAGTATTAGGACAAATTGAATCTGGAAATGGTGCTTTTTTCTTTTTATATGCTCCTGGAGGAACTGGAAAGACATTTTTGTTAAATTTATTACTAGCGCAAGTACGGAAAGATAAAAACTTTGCTGTGACCGTAGCTTCCTCCGGTATAGCCGCCACGCTGCTAAGCGGGTACCGCAGTACACATTCTGTTTTAAAACATCCTCTAAATCTAGCCCAGGAAGAATCGCCGATCTGCAACTTTAGCAAAAATAGTGCACGAGGTATAATGCTACGACAATGCAAACTTTCAATGTGGGACGAAAGTACAATGTCGAATAAAAAAGCTGTAGAAGCACTAAATCGAACGCTCCAGGATTCGCGCAGCAATACCGATGTAATGGGAGGAATGGTGGTTTTACTGGCTGGTGACTTTCGCCAAAATTTACCTGTCATTCAAAAGGGCACACCTGCAGATGAAATTAAAGCATGCCTCAAGTCGTCTATTTTATGGAACAAGGTGACAAAATTCAGTTTAACTACGAATATGAGAGTGCATTTGTATAATGATATCAATGCTGGAAACTATGCTGGCACACTATTAAAAATTGGCGATGGGCGGTTGGAAACGGATGCTGAGGGCTGTGTTAAATTGACGAGAGATTTTTGTAATTTAGTACAGAGTCATTCCGAATTAATTGCGAGCGTTTATTCAGATTTAACGAACAACATGCATGAAGACGAATGGTTATGTGAAAGGGCGATTCTTGCACAAAAAAAATGAGAGCGTTAACAAAATAAATTCAGATATATTAAGCGAAGTAGGAGGAGAAATAACAGAGTATTTGTCAGTAGACACTGTTATGGACACAGAACAGAGCATTTCATATCCCGTAGAGTTTCTAAATTCTATAGAGTTGTCAGGTGTGCGCTCACATAAGCTTCAATTAAAATTAGGCGCCCCAGTCATGCTAATGCGAAATTTAGATGCTCCTCGGTTATCTAACGGGACAAGGCTGCGTGTAACACATCTTGGACGGAACATAATCGGTGCTACAATTTTGACAGGCGTAGGAAAAGGTGAAAATGTTATTATACCACGAATCCCTATAATTCCCACAGATCCTTCTTTTCAATTCAAAAGGTTTCAGTTTCCTTTTAAGCTCAGTTTTGCAATGACAATTAATAAAGCGCAAGGGCAAACGTTACAGGTAGCGGGGGTCAACTTAGAAAAACCATGCTTCTCTCATGGTCAGCTGTATGTAGCATGTTCGCGTGTGTCAAATGCCCAGAATCTCCATATTATTTCCCCGAATGGAAAAACTTTTGTGTACAGTAGCGACTTAAAATAGTGTTCAGTTAAAGTTTTTTTTTCAAAAATTCCCACAATCTATTAATCAGAATTCCCACAGATCTTCCCTTTCAATTCAAAATTTCCTATTTAGCTCAGTTTCTGTTCAATTCCAAATTCTGCACCTCTGACGGACCTATTAAGCTCAGTTTCCTTTCAATTCAAAAGGCTGCATCTCTGACAAATCTTTTATTTAGCTCAGTTTCCTTTCAATTTAGAAAACTGCATTTCTGACGAATCAATTTAGCTTAGTTTATTTTCAAAAGTCTGCATCCCTGACGGATAATTATGCTCAGTTTCCTTTAATTAAAAAAAAATATCCCATTTCCATTTGGAATAAACAGGCTATTTTCATGTTTTCCTATACGCTGCGTTTCAAAACATTTAAATAGGCTGACGACTCAATTTTGCTCAGTTTCCTTTTAATGGCTGCATCTGTGACAAATCTATTAAACTCAGTTTTCTTTCAATTCAAAAAGCAATGGATAGTTCATTTCCCAGTGACCATGCGGGCGAAGCTGCGGGTAACAGCTAGTTTAAGATAATTGTACAACATATTTTTTTGAATGTATGATTGGAAGCCTTTCTGATACACGCTGTTTTATTTACTTATTTATATACTAAGCAAAACAGTATAAAACTACATTTAGATTATTAATTTCATAACACTTATAGTACAACTAATAGCAACAATTTTCGTTACTTGGCAACACAAATGAGGTCAAAGTGATTTTCCTGGAGCCACAGATATTACACGCATCTAACATAGGAAAGGGTAGAAAGGCTCTTTTACTATGTAATGTTAATAATTTCGTTCGTAATTTTACGTATCGTTATACTTGTTTTACAAGCGTTGAATATTTTTTTATAAACACTATTAAATAAGTTGAGAACATAACATGATACAAAAAACCTTATATTATACATTCCTGGAAACCTGAAAACAAAAGTGTACAACTGTATTTAGGTTGCCAGTAATCTAAAACGATATACGAATCTGAGACGTGATCTGTTACTGCTGGGCGTATTAGGATGCTTAAACTGGCGTAGATTACAGTCGAATAAATGGAATCAGGGCGTGTCGATTCAAGTCGCGTTTTTTCGTGTACGTCCATCATAGACGAGTCGAGGTAAATCGGTCACAAGTTGCAAGTCGTGCTCGTATGTGCTGGATAACTGGGAGATAGGAGACAGATGGGAAAAAAACGATGATTCCGTATTTCGTGGCATTACTTGGTTAAATGCTGTACATAGCCTCCTAATGTTTATCTTTGGAGTAGTAAAAGGCTGTTATGATAATGATAATGATGATGATATTATAAAGGCTTAAATCAACATTTTGAAGAAAAAAGAACTATTTGACGGCTCCGTGGCGTAGTGGCTTAGCAATCAGTTGTTGCGCTGGTGGCCGCGGGTTCGAATCCCGCACGGAACAAGTATTTGTATGGCCTACAAATAATTGTTCCGGGTCTGGATGTTTGTCCTTGTGCAATTTATGTTTGTAAACTGCCTCCACGACACAGGAGAAAATCCTAGTGTGGGGGTAACGTTCTTTTTTTTTAAATAAAAAACGAAAAAAAAAAACGAAAAAGAACTATGCTGTCTATGAACATACGAGTACGTATTCGGGACCGCCATTGCATTGAGTTCCATCCATTCAATCTATTACATCTATTACATCTATAAAATTCCACTGATGAACACAGGCCTAATCCATAGATTACCTCATAGGAAGAATTTTGCAATAGTTGACTCGCTTGGCAGATGGGTTGGCAACCGCAGTTTTCTAATATTTTGGTTGTTATCAGAAAGATGCCGACCATCATCTGTTTCACCTTCCGGAATTATCATACTGTGACGCCTCATAATTATTATTAATAAATAATAATTAAATTCATTATACAGACATTTAAAAATATCATAGAAATTATAATTTAAACAATTAAATGCAAATAATAAGCATAAAGTTCAAAAATATCCATTTGGAATATTGAATATTATAATATTAGTAAACGCATAAAATGTCTCTAAAAATCTCTAAATTTATTAAAAACTGCATAAGCATTATGATAGCAGAGTTATGACTTGAAGTCCCATATGAATAAGACATACAGTAGTATGGTCTATGAAATAAAGCAAATATGTGGAAGGTCTCAAATATGTAAAAGCATTATATTGAAAGAAATGGGACTTGAAAAGGATTATTATAGTGACGTGTAGGTTGCTTCGCAGCCTCTGAGACCGAGGTAAACTTGGACTCACTAACCGATGTGTCCTAGACATATCATCTTAGTGCCGGTGGTAAGCGGGTTTGTTGTAGCAATACGACTTGCCCGTGGACATCGCACACCCTACCGTTTGTGGGCGGCATCTTAGCGCATAGCGTTATGATACGTCGGCTATCTTTCGGATTAGGGTGAGTGTGTTTGGTAGTACTTTTAAGTGCAGCAAGCATACTCAACTTCATGTCTTAGATACGTTGGTGGTATTTTTAGTTAACAACATTATCAAATTTTGTTACCAAAGTCGATAGGGATCATGTAGGTGTGTTGTGAGGGGGCGCCATCCGTATGATAGTTGCATTGATGCTTACTGCTACTTGCAGTATTGCGTCTTGTGATGGATCTGCGGGTGTACTGCACCTGAATATACGCATCTTGTGGTTCTGGTCGATGGAGGTATGCGGGTGGTTATGTCTGCTGGGACTGTATGGGGGACCTTGGGATGGTGTAAGCCCGACGATAGTCGTATTGATGCTTGTTGCATTCTGCAGCATTGCGTCTCTACGATGGTTGTTTGGCGGGTCGCTATTCTCAATGGCGCTCTCCGCGTCTTGGTTTGACTCACAACCTAAGTAGCTTTGCCCAAGTCGGGTCCCTTCATTGCGGGGCTGCAGACTGTCTGTCCTCCATGATGTTTTATATAACAACTTAATAATATATCTCTATAAAGTTCCCACCTTTGAGAGATTGAAGGCAACTTGTTGGTGGGTGAGACAAACATGATCGAAAAATGCATATACTCAACGTCAGTGACACAAACCCTTTCTGATGGCGAATTATTAATATTATGTTATAACTGCCTATTGGCTATATCTGCCATTGTATTGGTTGGTGGAGCATATGTGTCGACCTCATGCGGGTGGTAGCTGGAGGGAGAATCTGAGGAGGCTCTCAAGGCTGCGGCCGAAAGTCGCGCAACGTGGGACCCCATTCCCTTGAGGTGAGCGGTAGACTCATGACACGCTCTGCGGCCAATTGGCCGTGCTGATCATGCAATTGGTAGTGATGCCTTACACTTACATCACGTCTGCAGGAACGACGGTCTGGCAGGTGGTGGCGCTCACGGAGGGCTTTTTATGACCAGTGTGCCTATTGTTGCCTAACCCGTGTGACGTACATTCACTGTGGCTGGATTTGATCGTATTCTGTATGGCGTTTACACGCATTGACATGCGCGACTTCGGTCGATGTTTGTGCTTACGCACTATCAAGGGGCCAAGTCCTCTTTTACTGGTTCGCCAGTTATTTTGCTGTGGACTACGGTCCAGTTCCCAACTATGCGTACCCTTCGGGGGAGCGCATTAAAATGGTTGGCGCTCACCGTGCGCGGCGTGTGTGGGGCCGTGTACCTCCTCCACATTTTTTTTTTAAATGTGGGAGAGCGAAGCCCTTGTAGCTGGTATTTGATATAAATATTGTGAGCCTTTTCCAAGCGGGAAGGGATTAATTGATAAGGAATTGACTGTTGTGAACCAGATATAAGTGGAATAGGGACAATTTATTGTTCTTAACCTTTTTGAGCTGTCTTCGTGAACGGGGTTCTTTAGCTTATAAGACTCTACCAACAGCTTTCAATTGCTCTCGTGAATATTCATTCTTCCAAGATACACCTATAAGAACTAAGTTACTATACAAACACAACGTAAAAAAGGGTCCTAACTAAGACGATCACGCCATAAATTTATTAAACGGCCTATTTTTTTAAACCTTTAGAAAGATCAAGATATACTGGTCACGTAAATTAGATATATTTATATATCTTACAGATATAGATTAAAAAAAAGAAAATAAGAGAGGGGGCGGGGGTTCGTTACAATACGTTGAAAAAAGATTTTTATAAAGTCGGCTAATAATAAAGATAAGTTTAAACTAAAAGAAAGAAAAATAATTCAAAACGTGCTAATTAGCACGTATTTTGGATCTATAGTAATGGACGTAAGGTTGAAATCCTGAAGCGAACAAATGTTTGCTTGGCCTATAAATATAATTGTTCCAGATTTGGATGTTTATCAAAGTATACCCAATTTATCTTTATAAAACAGTTTGCGTTCGTGCCGACCCAATTGTATAAAGCCTTTTGTTGCTCATACTCACCACCCTGTAGGCAGGTAGGTTGGTAAGCGTAGGGCTGATAACCTTGCACATGTAATG